AATATAGGACAAGATGGTGAATGTCCCTTGTACGTTTGAAGGTCTTCTGCACTATTTAAGTTACCAACTATCATTAGATGTGAGCAGGTGTTAGGGGCTACATAACCTCAGTTATGCATCTTAGCGTCATCAACATTCATCATCGTTGCTGTTATCCCTTTCTGTGTCACTCCAAAATGTTCTGCTCCATAGTTGTAGATGTTATCCATCCTCTCAATCTTCAACTCAATTGTGCCCTTTATCTTTTCATGGATACTGCTTAGGTCTGAGGTGTAGAGATGATACAGTAACGTATATAGTGACATAATGATGTTCTAGCCCATGGAAAAGCAAACTGGTTCTTTAAAGATTCTCAATTTGAACCAGCCCTGAACAAGCACTAGCAGCAGCCCTACACTAGCACTCAGGGCTCCACATGAGCATTTTCAGATTGTTGGCTAGAATATCAACATTTATAGTAACAACATTACAACATAATAGTAAGTGGGAGAGAAAAATGGACACACTTCTCATTTTGTGCCCAGCATGCTCACTTGTTAATGTTAAATTGTTTCTCCTTTCTCCAACAGGAAGTGACAAGACCTACCACCAGTGGCTGTTCACTGTAAAGGTGAGCTAGTCTGCTATCTTTTACCCACACAGACAGCACATCATTACACCCATTTTTGGCATTTCTGGTTTTCCCTTTGTGAAAGGATAAGGATGTGGGGGCATAATGTACAGTATGTCAGTCCATCTATTTTATGTCCAGAAAAACTATGCCAACATCTTCTGGTCAGATTCACACAAATTTCACAATGGATATATTTGTTTGCTCCGTTTTCATCCACATGATATTATATGGTATATTATATTATTATATGATATTCAAAATACAAATTGTTTAGTTAGACGGTCTTTATGGCAAACACAAAGTCATGGGAGTGTTAATTTGAGAACAGACTTTTCATCATACATAATTACTTTGTAATACATATCAGGCATATCATTTATTATGTCTCAGTCATTACATTTTTTGTGAATGTTTTTCTTACAGAGAGGGGGTGGTGCTATCTTCAATACAGTAAAGACAAAGGCAAACCCAGCCATGAGGACTGTTTACAAGTTTGTAAGCACATCCTGGATTCAATTATCCTAAGAATGAATTGTTTGGTAGAAATACAAATGGCAGTGATCTGGCTTTGTTTGTTTGTTTGACAGGCCAAGGACCATGCAAAAATGCGTATTAAAGAAGTCAAGAGCCGGCTAAAGCAGAAGGTAAGTAGCTTTACACGACTGTGGATCACATTATGTTTTTGTATACACTGTTACATTGTTTTGACAGCGGCAAAGGAGGTGGCAGTGCTTGACCTTTGCCTCACAAAAATACCTTGAACACCACCCTAACTCACCATTTCTACCTTAACTGAATCTCATCACCCTAGCCACAATGTACCTCCTCCGTCCTCCTTCTCTTGCATTGCCATCACTCCTTTCAATATGTCAACCTCCATCTCCCTGTGTCCCCCCTCTTTAGGAGCAGGCAGAAAATGGTTTCTCTACAGGGGTTTCATCAGTCATCAATGATGAAAGCTCAGCTGGCATTGTCTCCTCCCCCAGTGGAGTCAGGAGGGAGGGTCCATTGCAAACCTGGGATGACCACAGGGCAATCACTGTGCACTTTGGACAGGTTGGCAGAATTTAGGAGGAATGTGGTAAAGTGAAAATATGGAGAGAAAGAATATCAAAGAGCTGCAGTATATGAATCTGTTTCTTTTTGTTTGAACAAGGTTTGGGCAATATAATCAGTATAATACCATGAAATTATGTTCTCTAGTTTTTCTGTACCATTAAAACACCCTTTAACAAGTATAGTGGTATTATAGACCAGGAGTATTAAAAAATTGACAGTGATTGATCTGTCAATGGATTACAGTAGGGCTGTATTTATCGATTCATTTGTATTACTCAATTAATATAATAATGAATTAATCAAAAATGCAATTTTAAAAACTTGTGTCATTTGTGTCTGAACTGCAAATCAGCCTTTAACAGTCCCATACAAAAATCTCTTCAAAATAAAGTTAGTGCAAGTTCCATCAAAGTAAAAGGAATAAATCAATCTACATTTAGCTGTTCAACAACAAAATAAATGCAAAATTCAACACTGAACTGGACTAAAATATCAAATAAATTATCTTTTCTTGTTTCAAGTAAAATAACGTTTGCTTTTAAAAACAAAATTAGGAGCTTTTGCAAAAGCCATCTTAAAATTTTAATAAAAGATGTAGTTTGAGTTTCCCCCTCACTATGCAGTTGGCCATAATATGCATTTCAGTCTGCTATGACTTTTTTTCAGCCTTAGAGACGAGTGTTTTGAAAACCATGTTTATTGTGAAGCTGCGTAAGGCTTAAGCTGCTACTTTTAAACAGATTTGGGGAATTCCAAGTAGCCACATTAATGGCAGAAATAAATTAATATCCTATATCTTGACATGGGGTATCTCCTTCTCTCTTTCGCTCTGCCACACACACACACACACGTCTCTCTATAGTTTTGGGGACACTCAATGACATAATACATTCCCTAGCCCCTTACCCTAACCTTAACCATTACAACTAAATGTCTAAGCCTTACCCTAGACCTAATTCTAACCCTTAAACCAATTCTTAACCCTCAAACAGCCCAATGAAATTTTGAGGACCAGCCAAAATGTCCTCACAATGATGGTTTTGAACCAAAATTGGCCCTCATAAATATAAATAGACATGCGCACACACAAAAACACATTTTCCTCCCTCCTCTCTTTTCCTTCTCTTCAGCTTTAATAAACCTAACTTTAAAATCCCATCTCCTCTTGCTGGTGTTAGTTATTTAAAGTTAGGGGAAAAAATCATTCAGCTAATCCCAGTCCAGAAATGTCAGTGACCATGGATTTATCCTCCATGAGTATTGTGTTACAGCCACTGCTCTAACTGCTCACTATGTAGATATCTGGTCAGAATTAACAGCCAAACTACAATTCTAGACCTGTTGTTCTGTCACACCAACATGCATGTGAATCTTTGACCTCATGTCTCTCCCACCAGAATTTCAAAAACCTTTATATCAGACAATTGTGGAATGTCTTAATTCAGTAAGCAGACTGTCTTTGGTAATATTGAAAATATGTTTTTGTATAAATGAGGATCTATCCTGATTTGTCAGATGTTGAAATAATGCATACAAACGTTCACATTGTAAACTGCAAGTGTTAATTATTTTCCATAAAAATCTTTAAAGAAATATTCAATGTTACAGTATTAACTTCTCAATGAGTCTCTCTGATGAGTTAGCATGCATACTGTTCTTTTGCTCCCTGTTTTTTATATCATTTATTTGCCTCCACAGGCTCGGCCACCTGTGTTGTTGAAAAGACCAAAAAGCAATCTGAGTCTGGAAACCAGCCTTGACCAGTAAGCCTACATCCATTTTGTCACCCTGATCGTGATCTAGCTAAGAAATCATATTTTGGAAAGTGCATCAATTTTAGAAGAAAAAAATTATAAAATATGATTGTATATAACTTATACTTATATATATAGCTTTTATACAAACACATGCCAAGAAAAAAACGTTAAAATTAAAAAAGTTGTCTTCAGTTTAATGAGAGAGAAATGTGTTATCAAGCAAATAGGTTTACCTAAATGCCAGTAAATCTTCATTCAGTCCCAAAGTGTGAAGAAATACAGAAAGGTAACAAAGTAGAAGGTGTTGAGCAGCCATGTGCCACCAGAACAGCTTCATTTTACCCAGAAGTTGATTTTAAGATTCTCTCATTTTGTAAAAAACAATTGTCTCTATCCAGTGTTTGGTTTACTTTTTTAATTTCGCAGGTGCGTCAACCTGCCAAATTTTGGGGATTCACTAGCTCTTTATATTCAAAAACCTTATGCTAAACCCAACAGGAAGCCAGTAATTTTGAATGTAGTGGCCATTTTGGCAGATGTATCTAAAATAACTCCTCTTAGAGATTTCATCACATCAACTTCTAATTTGGTGAGTGTCATCTTAACCCATTGGAGATTAAATGTTGTAAAAGTGTGAGTTTTCGTCACACGGTGTGAACGTGGCATGGCGTCAAAGATAAATGACTTGCCATGGAAGTCCAATCTACTCCAAATGTGTGACATGAGTCCCCGCCTGACTACACAGAAGTGTTGACTTACAATTACATTCTCCCCCTAGTGGCAACAGCAAGTCTTGTTTTTAAATATCTTACACTTTGATTTACTCCTTCTAGTCTGTTGACCATAACCAAGTCAGATGTTGTGAGAATGGCCTCAAGACATTGTTGATGAAGTCTTGTGAATACTTAGTTCTCGTTGAACATCTGCGGCATGGCGTCAGATTTAAAGGATTTGCGATCAAACAATAAGTTGTACATTGTCCACTGTGCATTGTCGAATTAGCCCCAAATTTAATTTGATCAGAGCCCAGACCTGAACAAATGTATTTGTGTGTATTTAGTCATAGTCATTGCACCACGTACTGGTAACAAGAGGTAAGCCTCATGTGACAACTTTCATTTGATCTACATTCAATTTTCAAGGTGTGGTCTACAATGGATGCCTTGGACCGTAATGCATGATAAGTGACGCTGCATCACAGACACAGGAAGTGACACGTTTGTCATTCCTGTGGTGCCTAAAACACACGCAAAATGGACCGTTTCTCTTGGTCAGTGTCTGGTTGTTGCCATGGGCATTTCAGGGCTAGCTGCAACCACAGGTCTACAACCAGACACAAAGGGAACGTACAAGGGCCCGTAAGTTCTGCTAGCAGCCCTAGTTCTTGTTCTTAAAAAATGTATCTTATGCTTGAAAACTCAACTCAGATGTGCACATTTTTAAAGAATATCTGTAGTTGCTTAATTTAAGTTTGGTTTACTAAGGATCAGTTACTACTTTGAATGCTAATTCAATATCCACACTATTGCGAAGTCTTTTTATTTTCAATTTAAGTTTTTCATACAAGATCTTTTGAACATAGGACAAGATAGTGAATATCCTTTGTATGTTGAAGATCTTTCACACTATTTAACTTCCCAACTGCCAGAAGATGTAAGTAGATGTCAGCAACCACCAGCAGATGTTAGCAACATATCTTTAGTTGTGTACCTTTGCGTCTACTGTTGATTTGTTTTTGCTTTTTTATCTCAAGACACTCTCTTCTAAGGCAGGCCCAGCACAGCCTGATCAGACCTGGGTGCTTGTCCCTAACATCTTGGTGCCCAGTTGGGATCTTTCCTCCTGATCCAGAGCTATTGGCTGCCGCATTCTGAAGTCGATGATGTTTTTTTTTTATGGTCTGGCGCAGGGTTTGTCTGTGGATTCCTAGACCTCTGAGCAACCTTGCAGTAAACTTTTACAGGGCAATCTATTATTTTCAAGCAATGTTGTTCTGCTTCAGATGCATCTCTACTCTCCTATTCCTCTCATATACTTCATCAACAACATCCTCCTAGGGCACTGTTGATCCTATGCAGTAAATTTGCGCATGGTGTTGGACCAGAGTACCCTTCTGGTCTTAAAGTGGTGGTGACAATGCTTGATAGGACAATAAGCCGCTTGCAGCCTGGCAGCATTTCCCAGTCTTGGGCTTGCACCAAGTGATCACTCCTGATCAGTGACGAAGGCCCTCTCTGTCCCTGCTCCACGGTTTTGGATGGCAAGGCATTGGTAGTGGTTCTCTTTGTTTCAATTGTTGCTGTATTTGATTGTGTCTCCACATGTACCTACCTTGGGAGAGACTTACTTTATAACCAGTTAGGATGTGTCTGATGGTAGCTGGAGTTAAGCATAGTGGACAATATGGATCGTCATTCAGCCACAGCTGGAGGTTATGGGTGAAGGAAGGATGCTTTAGGTTGCTCTAAGCATGGAGCTAATTCAGCTTGCTTGCATTTTCCACAGGTCCCTCCTGTTAAACTTCCTTCTCTCTATGCTCTCTCATTTCATCCTCTCCCCTTGTTTTGCCCAAGTGACAGCTTTAGCGTATCTTGCTGCCTCCTCCTGACAGCAGACTTTTAGGACCATCAGATTTTTAATGTTATGATAGGGTTGCCTTGTTCCACAAAGGTCTGCTCTGACCTAGGCCTAGCCCCTTGCTCCTTGTTGAATGTGGCACACAATTTTAACTTGCTGGAGTGCTGCCTTTGCCTGTTAAGTTAGAATAATATCAGTACAGAGACTTCTCAAAACCAGGTTTCACACATGCCCACCTCTATCATTATGTATGGCGGCTGAGGGGGTAGATATCCCAGTCTTCCCCATTTGCATACAAAAGTGTCCTTGGACACGATACTGACCCCCAAATTGCCTCATAGAAAACATGCTGCCCATTGTGTCTTCGGAGATTCTCAGTCTCTCAGGTCATGGTATATGCAAGTGCTAAAAAACAGGTCAACTGGACATGGTTGAGTTTCTTTAAAAGATATTTCAATTCTCATTAAAGAGTCTACTTAAGTTCAAACTGACTGCTGGGAGTCAAAGGTATTTAACTTGTAGGGTTGTTAAAAGTTGTTACCTGAGAGGCCCATTTGTAGTAAAACGTCCTGTGGATGAAAGTCAAGACTGTATTATACAATCTGAAAGTCCTGGCAAATGACTCCCAACTGTACTGTAAAGCCCTTTGAATGGTCATCATATTTAAATACAGAATGTATCACATTCAATATGAACATCTCATTTTCATCATGTAGTTACAATTGTGACAATTGAAAACCAATTTTCCCAACTGCTGGCAGAAAATCGTATGTAACTTTAAAATTTGAAACACATATAAAAATGATTTACTCTATATAAATAATACCTTTTCAATAAAAAACTATTGACGTAGCCAAATACCCACGTATAACAGAATAATATCAGTACCAACGAATCTCAAAACCAGGATTCCCACATGCACACATCTGAAGGGAGAGAGAGATAGAACAGGGCACCGCATGAGAAACTATCTCTACCTTTGACATCAAAATGTCAAACAAGAGTACATTTTAAAAATAAAAGCTCCCCAAACAAACATACACATAACAGAAAAATAACAAAATGTGAACAAAAACTTTTTGGCAGATGAAGTGATGCACCCATCATGCCTAGTGCCTACTGTACAAGCCTGTGGGGGCAGTGCTATGATCTGGGGTTTTGCCTTATGAACATTGTTATTTTAAGAATGAATCCTTTTAAATGTGGCACAACATTAGACTCGCAGATTAACTTTGGTATCAACCACAAATCAAGCTTGGCTACAGCCAGTGGTCAGAAACATTATGTTTTGAGGTTGTCCATCCGCCTCATTATTGTGAACGCGATAACTCGAAAATGCCTTGAGGGAATCTTTTCACATTTCACACATCAAGGTCACAGTGGCCTTACAAAGTTTGTTTATGTTTTTCTTTAATGTGATATTTTAAGCTCGGTTTGAGGGAATGTCTCGAAATTTGGTACTAACATTCAGTGCAGAGTTTGGTCCATGTAGATCAAAGCTCAACGTCACAGTGACTTCATGTTCCTGGGAATTTAATTAAATTTGACACATTTCACTTGGGCTCAATGATGACCTGAATTTGGTGGTCAAAGGTCAAGGTCACTGTGACCTCTCAGAACACATGCTTTGCCTTTTGTACCGGATATCTCTGCCAAAAATGTTCACTTGGACTGACAGATAAACTGATAAGATTTTGGTGATAAAAAGGAAATATCATATTTGCCTCACAAAACATGTTCTTAGCCTCTTAAAAGTGATATCTCAAGACTGCCTAAAAGGAATTTCGCCAACTTTTGATCAGGTCACTTGCACTCAAAGATAAACTGATTAGATTTCTTTGGTCAAAGATTACAGTGACCTTATATGAATCTGGGTAAAAAATGCAGATGGAAACTGCACTGGTTGGCCGAGGCATCCTACCACAGTGTGGTATTTCTACTCTTAATTTTACTCTTCTTAACTGTTCTGTTTTAATGTATTTAATAAATAAACATTTAATGATTTTTCTGTGTTCTTTCCTCTTCTCACCATAGCCCTATCCGTCCTACTCGTCACTACACTGTGTTTCTCTCTGAAGATTCATCTGGAGATGAGCTCCAGTACGACAATGACTCCATCTCTGGGTTTCCTGACAGCTTTCTCTTCTCTGTTCCTTTTGAGTGGTCACCTCTGTACGCATCTTTCTCTTTGGCTTTGCACTGTTATCTTATGAATAAGCTTTTCACAAACCATCTCTCTTTTCTATTGATGTGTGCATGTATGTACATGTGTTTAACAGCTTCACAAGGAGGGTATTATGCTCATGGTATAGGGAAAACTTTGCATTAGATTTTGACTATAGGGTTAAGAGTAGAACTCATTCATATCTGTTATTTTTTGTTAGTTTGTCTTAGTGTGTTTGTGATAAAGGTCTTAATAAGGTTAAAAAGCCAACCTGACAGTCGATCACTCAATTGTGCATGAAGGCAAGTGTCTTTTGTATGGAACTGACAGTAGAGTTTTGCATTAGGGTTTTGACCCTTCGTCTGCCCGTCTCATTCCAGTGAATGCAAATTTTCAAGAATGCCTTGACAGAATTTCCTTAAATTTGGTACAAATATTCACTTGTACTCAAGGATTCACTGATTCGATTTTGGTGGTCAAAGGTCAGGGTCAAGGCGACCTCACAAAGCACATTTTTCACTTTGTGTAGTTGATATCTCAACCTGACAGTCAATCTCTTAATTGTACATGAAAGCAAGCGTCTTTTGTATGGAACTGACAGTAAAGTTGTGTGGATGAGGAAAAACATATACCATGAGATGATTTAGATTTGCTCCTCTGGTGTCATCCAAGTGTCCGTAAGCCTCCACATTCAAAATTGACTCGAAGCAACATCATTTACACAATGTTTTAATCTAAATGTCTGCTACCTAAAGTAGTGATGCTAGCTAAATTAGCGATGCTACCGTGCACCATGCATGTACCCTTGGGCGAGAGCTTTTGTGTAGTGTTTGTGAAGGATATCATATTTTGCCAAAATGAGGTTCTGGTTATTCCTGTAAGATCAATGGTCCTATGATCTTTTACGACCTATGAAGCCTGTAGTGTGTGTAACCATAATTCAAACACTGTCCCTGCAGGCCACAGCCATACCACTCCCTGAAGGAGGTAGAGTTGAGAGAAGGGGATGATCCTAGTATTGGGGCTGAGAGTCACACTGCTCCTCCCAGCCCAGTCAATGAGAGGATCTCCAATGTCAACTTGCTTGGGGATATTTTCAGCTGCCAAGATGAGCCTGACATCCAACCAATTACCTTGGCTAAAAGCCTTGAGGACCTGAGAACTCCCAAAGACCCTGGGGAGCTACAAGCTACGTTTACTTACCAGGTCAGTGGCTAGTGTGTTCTGCAGCCAAAAATAGCTTAACATCATTTTTGTTTTGTTATTTCCTAAAAGAATAACAAGAGGTTTCAGATAAAACATCTTTCTTTTTGACAAGAGCAAAATACCAACTAATGTCCACATGTCTATTCTTGTGGGAATTTTTCAGTGATAAGGCAGACAGGAAACGTGGAGTATAGAGAAGGGGTATGACAACAAAGGTCTATGGCTAGAATCAAACCATGAACCTTGTCATTCATTCCAACTTCTCCCGGATATCTATAAAATTTGTGTTGGATGATTTATGGTCCTGAGAGAATGAGTCCTTATGGTTGTTGACCAAAAAAATGTTCATCTAACATCACTGTCTTGTACATTATTATTGAACAACTTCAGTGCTCAATCCAAAATGTTAATACAAATCAAACCTGAATATTTAAGAAAGTTAAAGGGGGGTTTTGGCTTTCTTAGGAGAATATCTATGTGTGCACAATTATTGGGCAACTATTAGTGTGCTAAATTATTATGCAACTAAATGAAAAACAAAACTTTTCCCATCTCACTTGTTTATTTTCATCTGTTAAAGAGAGATTAATAAACAAACAACTTAATAGACCAATATAGCCACCCTTCTTTTCAATAACAGTCATAAGCCTTCCATTCATGGAGTCTGTCAGTTTCTTGAATTGTTGATGATCAACTTTTTGTGCAGCAGCAACCACAGCCTCCCAGACACTGTTCAGAGAGGTGTACTGTTTTCCTTGACCGTAAATTTGCAGGCCCACAAGTTCTCAATAGGGTTTAGGTCAGGTGAGGAAGGGGGCCATGTCATTATTCTTTCATCTTTAAGGCCTTTACTGGCTAGCCACGCAGTGGAGTACTTTGATGCATGCGATGGAGCATCGCCGTACATAAATATCATGGTTTGCTTGAAAGATGCAGAGTTTTTTCTGTACCACTGCTTGAAGAAAGTGTATTTTAATAACTGGCAGTAGGTTTGGGAGTTGATTTTGAGTCCATCTTCAACCTGAAAAGTTCCAACTAGCTCATCTTTAATAATACTAGCCCATACCAGTACCTCACCTCCACCTTTCTGGCATCTGAGTCGAAGTGGAGTTCTGTGCCCTTTACTGATCCTGCCATCTGGTCCGTCAAGAGCCACTCTCATCTCATCAGTCCATTAAAATCTGTCTTCAGATATTTCTTGGCCCGGTTTTGACGTTTCAACTTATGTGTCTTGTTCAGTGGTGGTCGGGGTTCAGCCCTCCATACCTTAGCCATGTCTCTGAGCACTGAACACCTTGTACTTCTGGGCACTCCAGGTAGGTTGCAGTTCTGGAATATAACAGCACTGGAGGATAATGGGTTCCTTGTAGATTCGTTATTCTCAAATCTTTGGCAGTTAATTTCTTAATGTCTTCTTGCGACCCTGTTGACTATTTGCAACAAAACATTTGATGGTTCTGTGATCACGCCCCAATATCTTAGCAATTTCAAGAGTTCTGCATCTTTCTGAAAGACCTTGTCCAATTTTTGACTTTTCGGAGTCAGTTAAATCTCTTTTTTGGCCCATTTTGCCTGAGGAAAAGAAGCTGCCTAATAATTATGCACACCTTGATATAGGGTGTTGATCTCCTTAAGCCACACCCTCCCTCATTACACAAATACACATCACCTGATATGCTTAATTCCAATAGGCAGTCAAGTTAATACAGCTTAGAGTTGGAAAATATGCATACAAATTATGATATGGTGAAAATACTCACTTGCCTGATAATTGTGCTCACAGTGTAGTAGAGCGCTTTGACACTTGATTTCTGCAAGTTTTACTTTTCCTACATTAGCAATTATTGTCTAAATTATGTTGTCTGTTTGCAGCGGATGGACCTGTGTGTCGATGAAAGCTCTCAAACATTTCCAGGCCTCAAGCTCTCTAACCCTTATAATAAGCTATGGAGTATAGGGCAATATGAACCGACCATGCCCATTTATGCACCTCCTACCTGTGAAACACGTGCATTTATACAACTTCCTGTGCAGACAGAAGCCCACTCCCCAAGCCATGAAAGCTTTGGCCAGGGTTCTGACCCTTTCAAGCCTTCCACCCCTGGCAACATTACTATCCCACGTCCCCATGGCAGAAAGACACCTGAGCTTGGTACTGTCCTTGCTCCCCCCATGGCCCAGTCACGCTCGAAAGCAGCAGGAACTGGTGAAGGAAGGACTGCATTTGGGGGGAAAGAGTTTAGGCAAGCTCTGAGTATGACCACAGATGGAGAACTGCTGAAATCCACCAACATAGCTGAGGGCAGTATAGATTTGATAAGCCTGCTAGACCCCCTTAATAGCTCAGCAAAGATTGACTCCACTTCACTAAATGATGGGGGATGCATTGGCATTTCGCCATCGTCCTGCAAACCAACACTTCCACCTAGGTCTTACCCTCAGGGCTTACCTATTTTCCCAATGCATCCTCACATGTCACTTAACCCTTTTGTCCGATCTCTGCAACCTACCTCCCCTCAAATGCATTATTCAATGACTGCAAGTAGTAATCCCTTCAGTACAGTGTGTAGGCTTCCAGTAGGCTCTTACTTACACTCTCCACCTCAGCCACAGTCCCTTTCTACACCACCAGGGCTTTACAGACAGCATTCGCCAAGCAGTTCAACTCTGCCACACAGTTATGGACTGCTCCAGTCAACCTTCTCCTCCTCAGAAACTTCTCTGCTTCACTCCTCTGCCAGTAATCATGCCCTTTCCAGCCTGGCAGACTCCATGTCTGTCTCCAGTACAGCTATGAACATGGTGGAAAAGCCTCTTTCTACAGAGAGAGACTGCCAGAAGACTCAGGATCCTTTTGGGGACCTGCTGACTATGGTCAAGCCAGCTACACCCCCAAATAAGAAGGTGGAGGACTTTCGGAGGAGGTGGGAAACGTTTGACTAAAGTTTGTTGAGGTGCCCTTTCTGTCACTACACAAACTTTCCTCGCTATTGGAACCAGCCAGACCTTCTATTGCAGTTACTAACACATTAGCTATAATACACTCTGTTCTGCTTACGAAACTCACTATCATTGAAGAATTATAGCTTTACCTGGCATGTAACACTTGCTGTGGAATGCAACTTGAAAGTTCTGTAAGAATTGTCCTAATCCTCAATTCTTAAATGTTTGTTTTGTATTCAATGTGAACTCATGCTGGGTAAATTATGCCATTATGCATTATGCCAGTTTAACTTCAGGTTATGTCACAATTTATGTACTTCATCAAGCCAGAAAACATTTTATTATGAATTGTAAAGTAGAGACTACCAGAGATAGTAAATACAATACTTATAGGCATCAAAAGCTAGATGAAACTACTAGACAGGAATTATTAAGCTCACTGTAACATTGAAGGGTAATTCAGGTAGTAAGTAGTTGCTGTTGCCAACTGTATTAGACTGCTGTGGCAAGGGGAGACAGGGTGTATATGGCTCTTATGACCATGTATGTTTTTTTTCCAGTGCAATCTGAGTTGATGGTGCCTGAACATCTTTCTTCTGATGCTGTCCATTTGGCCATGGCAACCAGAGAAGCAACACAGAGGAAAACAATGTTAATTTTAAGATCTTAATTACTGAAGTGTAAAAATTCTCAGGGTTCATTATGAAACTGCAGCAGGTCAAACACGGTCAATACATGGTCATTCAATGTCGTCCAAGACACGTTCACATTGACACTGCTAAAGAGAGGTTGACATATGTCCCAATCCACTTCCAAATGGTCTGAATGATAGGATATTGTTTCAGTTGTGTATGTGAGCATATACTTGTCCTCAGTGCATCTTGGGTATGTTCGCCTGTACTTAAAGGTCTCCATTGTGATCAGATCAGTCAGGACAGATGTTAATTCCAGGTCTAAATGGAATCTCTGTCCGGTAGTTGCTGTGTCAGAGCTACACCTTGTCGCAATCCATCTGAAGTTTATCAGCAATATTTGAGCAACAGCCTTTGAATCTGGATTCTTTAATTATCTCTGAATGTAGTAGTTTACCTTATTATTTGGAAGTCTGCCTTTATCTTTGTGAAATTAATATTGTACAAACACAAAAGGGATTCACAGGAAACTATAGATCCACTGGACATGATGCAAATAACAACAGTTGCTCATTAGTGCTGTTTTACCGTGTAAAATGTCTTTGTTAACTGATATAGAGTACCGAAATGAAATGTCTCAGCACAGTTGTTGCGTAATGTACATTAAATTTCCCCCAATGAATAATAAAGACAATCTCATACAGACCTCTTTGTCCTATATTATGGTAAATGGTCTGTATTTATTTAGTTCTTTTCTAGTCTTAATGACCATTCAAAGCGCTTTACAGTACAGTTTTGCCACCTTTTCACACACAAATTTACACAGTGCATCTATGTGCAGCTCTCTGTATCACCCATCATTCGTACACTGCTGGTACAGCTGTCAGTGGCATTTTGGGGGTTAAAATATTTTACCCAAGGACATTCGGAATGGGGGAGACAGGGATGAAACTGCCAACATTCTGTTTGGTGGACAACTCGCTCTACCCTCTGAGCCACAGCTTCCCCCTGATTAATACGCCCCACTTTTAAAACATCTTTCCATTAAATCAACCTTTACATCTAGAAAATCCACAGAAACAGATTCGTAACTTAATCTACCAAAATCTTAAAATAGATTGTCATCATGAACAAATTTACTGTCAGTTTAACAGTGATTTCTGTCTTTTGCTCAAGACTGTGATTTCATGATTTTCATCTATTCTTGTGTGTTGTGAGTAAAAATGTGCATTTAAATCAGAGTTGATGAATCATTAACTGCAATAGAAGGCCCTTGTCACATTGGTAGGAACTGTCATGTGATAAAACACACACACACACACACACACACCTTTCCACTCCACTACCATCAACAAAAATAATAAAATGTGTGTCTGCTGAATGCTGCTGAATTTGGATATTTTGTTATTAAGGAACTTGCACACAAAGATAACATGGTGTAAGATGTTCAGATGCCAACACAATTCATTGCACAGCACCCTCTCATGTCCTCTGTCTTTAATGCCATGACTTCAGCATAGTGCTCAATATAGTATCAGTATAGATTTGTGAATCAAAATAGCACACACTACCTACTGAGGTAAACTCACAACATTTGTCTTATTGATGTTAAGTTCTACAATTACCATGTCTCAGTAATCTGCTGTAGTTATTTTACCTCCTAATGGCATTAGGATACCGTTTCAAAATGTGGTACATCTCATCATGCATTTGGTTCACCTTTTGATGTTTTGGAAGATTTATGCACAGTTCTGTTGTTTTTGGGTCTTCCTACATTTTTAAAAAGAGACATTTTAAGAAGTCCTTCAAACCTACAATTGACTGTAATGTCCTTCAAATTATTTTAAATATTTACTTTTAATTAAAAACATGGGCACTTCAGAACACTTGTATGTATACTGTGCTATCTTAAGGATGCTTTCACTTATGTTGCTGCTAATGTATGCGCATATCTGCCTTAGTCAATTCTTACTCTGATGATAATGATGGTTAATGAGTTACCGACTGCTTACACATTGTGATATCCATTGTACATAGAGTAGAAATAGTGGCTCTCACAATTTTGCCACCAGTTTGTAGTTCAGCTCATTTTGACTTCAACTAGAGCAATCATTTAGCTGTCACTCCTTGTCAACCTTTACTGGTTTCCAGGTGATCTTGGGACATCTGTGGTGAATGCCAAAAAGTCTAAATCACTAATCATAAGGTTCTTTACAGGTATAGTTGCTGTTGTGTCAGTGTACAGATGAAAACTATTCTAAGACTAATTAAAGAGTGATGACTAGTATCCTACTAGACATAAATCGCTTCAAATAGAAATATTTATCATAATATATCAGCTTCACTTTTACAACCGATTCTACACAACGCCTATCATTTCCTTGCTACATTTAATTCCTGTAATGACAATGCCCATCAGTTTGTTAATCCTGCATCCGGAAAGCTTTCTGACCCTTTCACGTTTTCTACGTTATGTTAAGACCCGTCTTAAAATTGATTCAATTCACTTTTTATTCTCATCAATCTACCAACAGTACTCCACAATGACACAGCAAAAACTGTTTTTGGAGTGTTTTGTAAATGTATTAAAAATAAACGAGTGAAATATCCCAGTATTCAGACCCTTTGTTATGACACTTTCAACTGAGCTCTGGTGCCTCCTACTTCTATCAGTGGTCATTGAGATGCTTCTATATCTTGATTGGGTCCCTTATTGAATTCATTGGACTTAATTAGGAAAGGCCCACACCTGTTTGTATAAAGTCTCACAGTTGATGGTATATGTCAGAGTGAAAGACCATGAGGTCGAGAGAATTGTCTGTGGACCTGTGAGACAGAATTGTGTCAAGACAGATCTGGGAAGGATACAAGACCACTTTGGTAGCATTGAAAGTGCCCAAGAGCATGGTAGCCTTGATCATTCTCAAATGGAAGAGATTTGGAACCACCAAATGTCTTCCTAGATCTGGCCATCCAGCCCAACTGAGTAATTGGGGACGAAGGGCCTTGGTCAGATGGGTAACCAAGAACCAATAGTCACTAATGATAAGATACAGAGTTCGTTTGTGCAGGATGGAAGCCATTCCTTACTAAAAGGCATATGACAGCATGCTGGGAGTTTGCCAAAAAGCAACTTAACGACTCAGACCACAAGGACCTCTGGTCTGATGAAACAAAAATTTTTACTATTTGGCCACAATTCCCAAAGGCGTGTGTGGAGGAAACCAGGCACTGAGCATCACTACATTAATACCATACCTAAAGTCAAATATCGTTGTGGCAGCATCATGTTGTGGGATGCTTTTCTTCAACACGGACTGGTAGACTAGTCAGGATAAAGATAGATGCAGGAAAATGTCCTGAGTGAAAACCTTTTCCAGAGTGCTGTTGATCTCAGGCTGGGGCGAAAGTTATACATTTAAACAAGGCAATGACCCAAAGCATGCTGCCAAGACAACACAGGAGTGGCTTCAGGAAAACTATGATAGCCCTGGGGTCTCATTTATAAAACAGTGTGTGGGATTCATACTAAAAGTGTGGGACAGTAGTGATGTCACTAATAAAGTAAAATACAGTGATATACTGCTGCTGTGGTTAATACAGTGAGAGTGAGGACGATAGAGAGAACAGGGTCTGAAATAAAAAAAGATCCAATTCATTTTTGTGCATCCATCACGCAGCATTATGCACCAGTGTCACTACAGTATTTATATATGTAAAGCCATCAGACTGATTACTTCAAACATCAGTGGATCCTAACCTCCACTCTGGGATATTATTTGAAAATAGAAGTTTGAAAGTAAATCGTTTTTCTTTAGTGATCTCCAGTACGCTCTGTGCACCTGATGGCACAGTCACGTTGACTGCAGCAATTTTACACACACTCATCCTTGATTATACACACACAGTCTAAAGCTGTTGGTTTTAATGTTAATGATGAAGTGGATCAATAATCGGCTTCAGTTATCAGAAGTGGCATACGCACGTTTCAGGCCCCGTTCTGTGTGTACGCAATGGTTCAGCCACTCCAGGGGTCTTACATTATAGTCCAGACCTGAACCCAATAAAGCATATCTGGAGAGACCTGAAAATGGCTTTGCACCGACGATCCCATTCAACTTGGTTGAGCTTAAAGATGATGCTAAGAAGAATGGGAGAAACGTCTTAAAGAAAGGTGTGCCAAACTTGTAGGATCACTCCCAATAAAACTTGAGTCTGTCAATGCTTCTAAAGGTGCACTAAGTGAAGGGTCTGAATACTTATGTAAACAGGGTGTTTTACTCTTTTATTTTTAAGAAATGTACAAAACACTCCAAAAACTTGTTTTTGCTTTGTCATTGTGGAGCATTGTGTGTAGATTGATGAGAAAAAGGAATGAATTGAATTAATTTTAAGATGAGTCCGAAACATAACAAAATGTGGAAATCTTGAAAGAGTCTGAAAACTTTCTGGATGCAAGGGTATCTAATCCAATGTCCATATTCCAATGACATTTTATATA